GCACGTCTGCACTGCCAACGCTCTGGAAAGCGAACGAAGCCGTTGTGGAGTCATGGACAGAGCCCTCAGTATGGGAACGTGATGGTACTGCACAAACTGAGCCAGATTGGGACCAAATTTGCGAGGAGTGGTGCAAAAATGGAGAAGGTGGAGCGGCTTGCGACTGCGATATACACCCATTTTAATCATTTGATTCGACAACTACTGTCCAATGCAATGGACAAAAACCATTTTTTTTCAAAATCTGTGCTTCCTGGCATTGCCTTTTTCATTGACCCCATAATAAACGGTCGTCTTGTAAAACTCTCGCTCTATGCGGATGGCTTTCCTCTCATTTCTGTGACCTCTGTGTGAAGAACAACATTTTTCTCATTTTACAAGGCATACCAGATGTCGCTCCACTCCCATTATTTTTGTTGTAAGCTGTTCGCGGCGACCTATTTCTCTTGGAACAGAATGAACCTTAGTATTTTTTTACAGTCAAGGTGTAATAGGTTTCCAAGAAGTGAGGAGTTTCTAGATACAATTCGTTGGTTTATGACGTTATTGATGCTTTTCGGTTGCTTCAATTAAAATACTGTTCTTTCCGACGTTAAACGTCTACGATCCGTCTCTTCGACGGTGACAATCGTAGGCATTAAAGCGGACTTCGAGGATGGAACACGTGCGATTATGGTGTGCAAGTGTCGTTTTCTCCCCCAGGAGAAATAATTTTAGTATTCTTGAAGCTGATCATGATCTGAGAGATGTAATTCTCCCTCCGTAAAAAAAAAAAAAACCTCATACAAAGATAATCCCATCCTATGGTAAATTTCTGTCCTTCCTCCGCCGAATACCAGGATGAAGTCGAGTACAGTAGATTGTTTCTATGCAGCCCCTCTGAAGGTACATGCATGGTCAGGGTTTACAATACTGTATACCGTAATTCAATCTCATTTACAGAAGGAAGTGGCATGCATATCCTGATAATGAAGTCGAGTACAGTAGATTGTTTCTATGCAGCCCCTCTGAAGGTACATGCATGGTCAGGGTTTACAATACTGTATACCGTAATTCAATCTCATTTACAGAAGGAAGTGGCATGCATATCCTGATTTTCCATTCATGAGTGTAAATAAAATGAAGTCAGATTACAGGTAGTTTCCTGAATTAGCTTCGTGATTTCTGCCTCATACATTTCTGGCCCTATTTCAACTGGTTAAATCATGCACTTTCTCAATATTGTATCACGTGGTCCAACGAACATGGTGGCATGGATCCTCTTCATTAACCTTACTTTTCGTCATACTCCTAACAGGGTAGGTGAATATTGCATACAATTTGGAGACCAACATTTTCCATCGATCACAGGCTATTGGGAATTAACAGCATAATCAGGAAGCCATAACCACATCGAGTGATGCTCATTCTATGAAGAGGAATTAGTGGCGTCTTCGCAAAAACTTTCTCATGTGAAATACAATCCTTTTCCTCTTCCGTTGACAAAATTCGAAGTACTGTATTTGTTATTCCTAGGAAGATCCCACAATGCACCAAATTCAAATCTTCAGGATTCTCCAAGTCTTTTACCTGTTCCTGGTAGCACACGGACAAACCTGTGCAGTTTTGAAATGAATCAAATTCACGTTTCGAGCTTCTCGCCTTCAACGGTCGAAGATAATTTTATTTCTGAAAAAAAAAAGAAAGAAAGTTGAATCAACCCTTCAAGACTCTCGGGAATCATTATTCGCAGCAACAGTAGCAGCAGCGACAGGAGCCGCCGCTTCGGTCGGCGGTTGATCTCCTTCGCCCTTCTTCTCAGCCGGCTTCTTCTTCTTCTTGTTGGTCTTCGGTTTCCCGGATCTTTGTAGCAATTTCTACAGAACGCAAGAATTCGGAAGATTTCACCAATTGCATGGTTTCGAATGAACTAAATCAACTTACGTTGATTTCCTCGTCCTCAATCTTCTTCTCAGTCTCATATAATTCAGCTTCAAACGGCAACCCTGTAATCCTGTGTGGCCCGGAAGGCATCAACAGCACCGTGTATTTAAACTGAGCCACAAATTCTCCTGAAACGCCCAACGCAGTAAAATCATCAAATCAATTTTACATGAATCAATCCGTGGCGACGAAACCCACCCTGTTTGTCGTACAGAACGTGGAACGGTTCGAGAATCTTATGTTTTAAACACTCAACGACGCCCATCTTGGCCTTCTTCTCATCCTCGAACATGCGCAAGTTGAAAGGCATAGTTTGAAATCGCTTGTCAACTTCAGAGAAAAACGCCCGCGATGCTTTCAATTTCAACATGTACAGCTCCTCAGTTTTCTTGTAAACCGTCACGCGAGACTCCAATTCACGTCCCTGCGCAGAAAACAAGACATTAGACCTCACTTAGTACAACATCGAACAGATGTCGCTCCATTCACAATTTTAGGTAGCTTGATACTGTAGTACTGTACGAGAAATCCCGCATATTATAGAACAGAACAGAACCTTGACTCACTTCAATGCAAGTAATTTTACATTGCAATTGAGCAATTCAACATCCCATGAACGTTGATCAACATTTTGCTTGCCCTTTGCAACATGTAAAGCTAAGCTTCTTCTAATCAAACTTCAAGCAACCAACAAAAATTCCACTTTCAGATGTTTTGATTTACGGAAAAAACCCTTTCGTTTGGGGAAATATTAGCAGGATATTGTATTTATTGATATTCTGGGCCTCAAATTGCAAGCAAGGGTTCATATGCCCATTAGTCTTTCACTGCCTTTTAAAACAAATCAATTTACATTTTTAATTTCTTCTCTTTCCTGCAAAAATAAAATCGTACTGTTGCAAAAAAGCCTCCAGAAGATTCAAGTTCGAGGTTTTGAGGGAAAGCCCTTGAGTTAGAGAGGTTTTAAATGCATTGTTTTTAAGGGAAGACAAAGATTTCATAAAATGTTTACACATGGAAATATTTCACTTAGAGAGGCTTGGTAAATCCGGGAGTAATTATCTGGCAAAATGTAATGAAGATCAAATCCACCAGAAAATATATTCAACTGTTGTCTTGTACGCAACAAATGTCTCCCAAGGAGATCTTCTTTCTTTGAAATGTGCACTATTAAGTCAAAATCGTCAGCAAAAAACTATTCCCGTGAAAGCTTCAGTCTTATAGAAATCTTATAGAAATGTATGAAGTTTTTCACTTCTAGTGAGACGAATGTACTTACAAGAAAATCGAAATACAGTCGCTGGGAGATGCAATCGCAAAAAATTCCATTCCCGATGCTTTCAACTTACCAGACCTTCTCCAGTAGATATCACGACATCCATAGCGTACACTTCATGAACATCGAATGTGCACTTGTCATGGTCTTTCCTCTGGGCTTCACTAGGATTCTGAATGATAGACTTCTCCCCGTCTATCCGATTTTGCTGAAGCTGATGACTGAGCATGCCTTCGACTGGTTTACAATCGAAGGATTCCGCCACTTTCTGAATTGTGTCCGTAACTGCATAATTCTGTAAAAAACATACGGTTGCATTATGCGACCAATATCGACATAAACGTTCGTGCCCCGCGTACCTCAGTCCCGGACTTCATCAATCGCAAGGCTGCTTCGGATGCAAAATGCGCGGCCCAAACTACATCAGCTTTACGACCCGTAACCTTCTTCTCCTTAGAGGCTCCGACGACCAAAGTGTGAGCAACAACCGCGATGAAACCATCAATGTGGGCACCCAAGTCACTGCAAGATTCATTCCATCAATTGAAAAGAAAACAACTAACGCGAAGAATTTACTAACATCTTCACGAGATCGCCGTCCACAAGGATGTAGTCCGGTTCACTGACAAGTGGCGAAAAGTTGCAAATACAATGGTTCACAGACAAACACGTCGGAAATGCAATACCTAAGAAAATGTTTCCATTTACATCTGTCGAGCGCTTAAGAAAATCCCTCACAAACCTTTCTTCATTTCCTTTTCCTTCTTGAATATTTTAGAAGTTTCCTCCAACAACATCTTGTCGGCTTCATCGCATATTTGTCGAACCGACGCCTCGGCAACACATTTCGAACAAATATCTTTCAATACTCCTGTTGAAGATGATATTCTAATATCCGCTTCGAGAAAAATCGATTTCAGCTCTCCACTTACGGTTCACTATATCCCCAGCCATCTTGTACTTCGTCACGACGATATCTTCGGCGATCGTCGCCTCATTAACGTCATCCTTGTCTGCCATTTTCCTGTCAGAGAACAAAATTAAAAAAAAAATTAGATTCCGAACTTTCGTAACTACAAAACACGCGCGCACGAGGAAACTGTTGAACACTTAAACTGCTCGGTAGAGAGCAGAACATCATTCAAACCAAGAAACACTCTCTCCGGTAAGCTAAGCTGTATCTGTCCAGATCACCGAACATCCCTGATAATTCCAATAAAAAAATGTATACACAAGAAAACCGTGAAACATATTTCAATGGAAGCGAACTTAATGCATTCCGGATTTCAACAAGATTAACGCACGGCTAATTCATTATAATCCCCACGAACCGTCTTTACTCGCCACGTCAAGTTCCACTACACATACCGGCGGGAATCTAATCAAGTTCCTCACTTCCCGTGGGCACATGTCATCGTAAGGGGTTACCAAACTCTGAAGCCAAGTAGTCCTCATGACCAAAGTGGCGCTGTTTGTCGTTCCCGAAATGGACCAGACGCCAGAGCTTGCCGCGCGAATGGAGTGCGTGGGCGCAGCCATACAGCTTATTCGACTTGCTTTTCCTCACACACCTACTCGTCTTCGGTACCCTGCTGACATCTACTTTACCACATTCAACGGGTGCACCTTCCGCTTTGCTTTGTTAGGTGTCGTAAGCATCATGATGGATATTTGATATAACGGTGATCAATTCTTCGAGGACCGGGAGAACATTATACAATATCTCTCCAAGAATAAGTATCAGATATGATGACAGTATCAACTGGACAGAATCTTGGTGTAGTTCAAAGAGAATCATTAACTTTGGCGTCATATGTAGCAGCTTTTCGGAAGGATCGAAGTTGAAAGCAGCTTTCAAATGCTGCCGCTAAGAGTAGTAAATAGATGACGCTGCATGCAGGAGACTCAAAGACATGATCAGGTGCCTCATGATCCTATCAAGCGAAGAATCTGACGATTTTCTCCTCTGATGGTGCGCTTTCCTCTTGGATGCTTCTCCTGTGGGCTGGGGTGCTTTTCTGCTCTCATCCCCCCACGGAATCCATTCCCCGACGAGAATATTCCATTTAGCCCGCTTCCGGTCTCCAATAAAAAGGGAAAAAAGAAGAGGAAAGTGCCTGCATAATAGCCCATTAAATGCACGCAGCGCGGATCCCGATCCCTCCAATAATGCGTCACAGGAAGTAAACGTCACTGTAAAATACCTCACATATACATACAAGTATCCCCGCGGGGTCGGAATATATGTGAGATATTAAACACCTGCTGTCCGGGTAATAAGGTTACGTCTCCTCCAGCGATTCGCGCGAAAAACGGCGCTGCCCAGGGGGTTGCTTTTATTTCATTTTCTCCCACGCAACTTATACCATATACGGCATTGAATAACTCGCATGTGTTGGAGAAGGAATTTGCACGCTGCAGGTATTATAAAACACTTAGACCTCAGTTGGAAATTCGATGGTGCAGTACCACGGAGAAGAAGGAACTGTCATCAGGACCATATGAAGGGAATTGAACCGGTGATGCAGAGAATTCAAAACTCCTCCGCAGGAAGTACGGTACAGTACTGTTGAAGCTAAAAGGAAAACCGACTGCGTTCAGTGTACCGAAAGTGAATGTGTCCGAGCGGGGAAGCAAGCAAAATCCAATGTGTGAATGAAGTCCAGCTCGTCCGCGCGTGGACATCAGTGCAGCAGTTGCGGGACTTGTGCTGCGATAAGTGTATCTTCCATTCTGCATTTAATAAGCCTAGCAAATAAAATTCTGTCCAGAGCGAATTTAGATATGCGGGAAAAACTTCCCTTTTAGGTAAAAATAAAAATAAAAATGCACATGGCAACTTCAATGAAAAATATTTACTGATACCCACATACTCTGTTTTTTTTTTTACATACATGGACACCACTAGCCCTTTTCAATGTTGGTGCTATAGAGAGGCCACGTAAGCTTTTTTCTCTGGAAAGCCAACACTTTTTGTTTTTATGATGATTCCAAGATTTTTTTTTACTTTTATAGATCTTTCTTTGAAAAAAAAAATTAGAATGCGTATTGATAGCTTTCTGAACTTTTTTCCTTTTTTTAAAAGCGCATTTCACTGAGGAAATGACATTTTAATGTTTTACTCAAGAAATGTTGGACAAAAGTCACATTCTGATCATGTAAAAATCTACACACATGTGCTTAATGCACTGCATTGAAACGATCAATGAAGTATGTCATATAGCAATCCGAAATTTTGGAAAGGCAATGGCAGTAGAAATTATTAGATGAAAAATAAACCTTGGCTTTCCTAGCTCCTAACTGCACTCCAAATATATTTTCACTTGCTGAAATGCATTATCAAGTTTAAAATCTAAGAAACCTTTCTTGAAGCCCAGCTTTCTATTTTTTAAGACATTTCACACGCATAATATAGCTGCTTCAGGGGTTCCTAAATTTTGCAATAAAGTTTTTTCTGAGGACTTTAATGGCATGTACTTCTTAAAAATTGTCAGCTGCTGAAAGCAAAAATTGTTCGGAATATTGCCGGTCCGCAGAACATTTTACGAAAATATGCCGGTCCACAAAATAGTGTACTGTATTTGATTACAGTTTTCCACTCCGCGAACCCAACAGGGTTGGGGAACATATTGCTATAAACTATGCTGTAATGTTTACGGCAGAAGCACTGCAAGAAAAAATGAAAACTTTCAAACCCTCTGCTGTATGAAGGTTTTCCATGTCCATTAATTTACCATACCATAGTATCAGCCATTAATCAGCAAATATACTGAGCGTTTACGTAAGAACGGGAACATACTCATATTGGGGTAAATAGCAGTGACATCTAGTTGAGTACTCCTTGACATGTCAAAACTCGAGATAGCGTACTTTCGGTTGGCTGCGCTCCAAGCAAAACGTACGTCCGTTGTCCTTGACCGGACACTGATATCGACTACGACTACGTACGTAATATGACGTATACGTAAACACTTGGCACAAGATTTATATATTGCTCGAAGGACAGAGGCGTAAACTTGCATGCTAGCGGTACTGTCTTAAAAGGCTCATGTCAATACATCGCAAGAATATATTCAGCCAAATACCTCAGGAGATAAATCTACCATGCAGTACTACAGTATATGGAATAGAGATGCTCGCATTTCCTTCGCATCAGCGGACAGGAAGGCGTTCTTTTCCGCTCTTGTTTTCTGTGTGTGCCACGCGTATATTTGATGTGTATGTATATCTATACTGTATATGCACATGTGCATTGTGCCGAGATGAATGCAGTCATGTTCCTGCTGCCACGAAACCGATTCCATTCATTTCCAGTCCTGTTGGTTGTACATTATATTTTCGGGCAACGCGTTCACGTGATGCATTAGCTTTATTGAATCTACTGTAGACTCGTATATTGTACTCCATCATCTCTGTTCTAAATTGCTGGGGGTGCCATGAAAATATGCCACAGTTCAGAAAATGACACGCAAGGGGATAATGGATTATGAATAAAAATGAGACAATAACGCATACATGTGAATCATGTCTAACTTATTTTATTAGCTGCAGAAATTATATGATTGAAGCTGCATGAACCTAACCTATATCTAATATAAATAATCCAGTAACTGCCTAAATCATATACCCAAAATGAATGAACTGATACAGCAGTACAGTTAAATATCCATGAGTCAAATATAACTCCCTATGCCAATTTTTTAAAGTCCCTGTCTGAATTCCTTTTGGAACAATGCAGTGAAAAGCCACATCTCAAAGTTTTCCCCCCTCAAACCTCCATAACTCATTATTATTTTATTGACACAGCAAAGAAAGAAGTACTGTAATACAATTGTAACTTGATGCATATTGAAAGGAAGAAAGACTTATTGAGAAAATGAACCTTTGTGCTCAACTTCAGGAACCTGTCAACTCAGCAGATGCAAAGTAATTTAATGCCCAGAATATCACCTATTATAAATACCTGGAATTTTTCTTTCTTTCCCCAAGCAAAAAAATGCTTGTTTCTCTAACTCAAAGCCTCTCTAACTTCATTTTTGCTGGTCTCTTAAACATTGACTTGAAGAGGTAAAACTCTATAATTAATTGAAATAT